TTTGAGGGTCTCGAAAAGCGCTATATAAATGCAATCCATTATTATTATTTACCATCAGATCACGAGCCGTCCCAGTTACTATGTTACTGTGCTACATGCATTTTTACTTTTAGGCATTAATCTAACACGTTAACAGTTTTATTTTTTGCAGATTCAGCAGAGAGGTTGCTTTCTGTGTGCGCATTGCTGAGCAAAAGAAGCTTGTTTCAGTTTATGTCTGCTGTTTCTTGAAAACAGTGTAACTGAGAAACGACAGACAAGAGTAACTACAGAGCAGTGACTGTAGAAAAGATGGCCGACCTGGCTGCACTTCATCCCACTGTACAAAAATGAAGCCAGAATTTTACCTTTCTGCCGTGTTGTCTGTGCACATAGTAACCATATAAGACTCTGTTATTCTAGCCTCTGCCTTACAATATGAAGCACCTTGAGGCGACTGTTGTTGTGATTTGGTGCTGCATATATACAATTGAATTGAATATTGACTTGAGGTATAGTGTCTGTGTCAGGCTCATGGCCACACAACTAGGCTGCTGGGGGATTCCCATGATGCACTGGGTGTTTCTTCTTCACTCACTATGTGTTTTTACGCCTCTCTGCACTGAATCATTAGTTATTATTATCACTGGCTCTTTGTCCTGTCTTCATCCCATCACCCCAGACTGATGGGTGACCCTCACTTTGGTCTTAGTTCAGTTCAATTCAATTTTATTTACACAGCGCCAAATCGCAACAACAGTCGGCTCAAGGCGCTTTATATTGTAAGGTAGACCCTACAATGGTAAAAATTGCCTGCATTTGTATAGCGCTTTTCTAGTCCCTAAGGACCCTAAAGCGCTTCACACTACATTCAGTCATTCACCCATTCACACACACATTCACACAATAATACATACAGAGAAAAAGAACATGCTTAGGTGAGATGGACCAGTGGAACTACCTGATAAAAAAGGGACATTGCAGAAAAAGTTCTCCAGCATGTCAATTTTTAAGGTGAAATCAGTGTAAAAAACCAAACACCCACAACAAGGTATCGCTGTGGCAGACGGTGGAGAAAACATCATTTAATTATTTAGGGGAGTCTTATCAATAGGAAAAGATGAACAAAACTTTGTAATCAGTTTGTCTCATTTATACATTTATGGGTTATAAAATATTAGATATGAATCCACAAAAAATAATTTGTGATGGAAACTTGTGTTTGGACCCAGAGAAACCCACGCAGACACGAGGAGAATATGCAAACTGCACACAGGCCTCGGGCACATCCTGGATTCGAGCCCACAACCTTCTTGCCGGGCCTTTTGGTTGCGAAGCTTCGGCATTCACAGTGTTTTTTTACTGACGTGTTTTATGTCGGACACCTCGGCCCCTGCAGGACATGGTCAATTTTTGTGTTCCAGGTGTCGTATGTTTGTTTTTCTTACAGGTGCAGCAGTTACATTACATTGCATTTCTATTTGTACTCTATCCTTTTGTTCCATCTTCCCTTGTTGTCCTCAGGCGTTGTCATACTGTATACTACACATAATGGAAGAACTGTAAAAACAAGAATAGAAATGAAGAAATAATCAGATTAAAGAAACATCTGAACAGGAAGAGCCTATAGAGAGTTTTTAGAGCTGATCTTGGAAAAGCAAAATGTGTTTGGCACCATGGTGCATTCAGATCATAATTCTTTCAAATTCAAATTTTATTTGTCACACACACACAACCATACACAGTATGACATGGGGGTGAAATGCTTGTAGCTGTACAATGCCCGACCATTAAATGAAAGAAAAAAAGTTTTACAGTATTTACAATTTACAGGTTACAACAAAATTTACAAATTAATTTAGGAATTTACAGTAAAAAATGTGCAAATAGCAGAAGAGATTATAAAGATTATAAAGATTATAAATTATAGGAATTATAGGAAATGTGTGGTGGTGCGTGTGGTGA